ATATATATATATATATATATGTATATATATATAGAATTCTTTGCGCTCTTGCTGAATTGGTACAAAACGACAGACTTAAGCAACCTCATTTGCTTCGCTGCCGCTTCATCTCTTCTCTTTTTTTCTCTCTTTTGCCTTGTGATAAAAAGCAAAATATATTCTGTGATGTGCTTCTGTGCTGCTGGCGAGCGGTAGCTACACTCGCTGCTGTTTATCTTCACTAAGAAGACTTTCATACCGGGAGAGATGCTTGTAGAAGGGAAGCGGCTTGTGTACGGACCCCCAAGCAACCATATAATAAACATGAAAGAGGAGAAACTGCTTCTTTGCATGCATGCAGCCAGTTGTTTGCTGTATTAGCCTCAACAATGCATTTCTTTTGTCTCAGCTTACCGACCCATTGAATCTGCACATTTCGCAGGAAACAACAGCACAACACTGCACGAAAGAAGGTATTTCAGGCGTATGGGCTGCTATTTGTTTCTGCTTGCCTTTATCTGCTATTTGTATATTATGCTGTTGTGTATTCATATTCACGAATGAAGAGGCCCCCTTAACTGAGCAAGCCGCGTCGCAGGCCGCCTGAATACTGAATTAATAAATGCTTCAAATGAGTTTAAATAGAAGATATTTTAGGGTTTAATTCTAAAATACGTAAAATTTATTCTTCGAATTCAACGCTGCATGCATGCGAGATGCTCGCGATCTGAACGCGCCGCAGACATTCAAGCATGTGCCTTGTTGCCTCCATTCGCTGTGATGGCTTTAGAAAATACTAAAAAAAGCAGCGGATTCAGCTGTTTTTGTCTTAATTTATTATTTTAATTCATCTTTCTACGATTATATACGTAGTAAAACCCATACATATTACCAGCCAACACCGGAGCGGTTGCTGCTACGCTGGGCACACGCAACTGAGGTATACAGGCGAAACGGCTGCCGATGATAAATAATGCTTCGTCTTGAGCTGCATATGGATATATTATTTAAGTTTTTCTCTTTATTTATTTATTTAAGCAAAGATTTCTAGAAGACCTTGAAGGCGTTTCTTATCCTACTCCCACTGACCGCCGGGGCCGGGACATAGACCAGCGCGAGTCAAGGCGCAGCAGTCTGCATGTTTTCTTTCTTTGTTTTTCTTCCTTCTTTTCTGAAAGAAGAAGCAAATAAACTAAATTTTAAAACCCCAAAAGGTTTCTCCTAAGAGGCGGGAAAAGCGCATCACCTCGCGCAGCCACCTGCTTGCTGCTTGACAACGGAGGCAGAGAGGAGAAACTTGTGCTGCTGCTGCAACCCTGGCTTTTGCTGTTGAGGCAGCAGCTCGGTAGCAGCAGCAGAAGCAGCTTCTTGCTGCTGCTGCTGCTGCTTATGCGCCCCTGGCAGCCTTACTCATAATGAAGTATATCTATCACTCCCCGGCTAACTTTCATACAGAAGGCCGTTAGACTGTTTGCTTAGCTAGCGGTTCAATCAAAGGGAGTTTATTGGCTGGAGGAGGAGGAGGCTGCAAAGGGTGGGGCTTTAAACCCTAAACCCTAAACCCTAAACCCTAGCTGGGCAGTGTTTATACACCCGGATTGACTTCATTCCTTTTTGAATCACAGGCTTGCATAATGTCGGCAAGTAGTACAGCAGCTCCTCTCACGGATCAGGAGAGGGAAGAGCTGCGACAGCGGCTGCAGCAGCGACGACAGGAGCTGCAGCAGCAGCAGCAGCACGTGCGACAGCTGCAGGGCAAGGCTTCAGATGCTGTAAGGGAGAGTGTCTTAGCTTACGGAAATGCTGGTGGTGGTGGTGCTGCTGCTGGGGAGGAGACCGACATATCTCAGGTGGGGCGTTGACCGTGTTGCGGTTGCTGCTGCTGCTGCAGCTGCAGCTGCTGCAGCTGCTGCAGTTGAGGGCTTGTGCGTATCCTGCTGCTGATAGAGGGGCCTCTGCTGCTGTCTGCAGAGCGTCGCGTCGCTGCTGCACGAAGTGCTAGCGTCTGTACACTCGGAGCAGCCGGCTCCGCAGCCGCTGGCTGCTGGCGGAGGCGCAGCAGCAGCAACAGCAGCAGCAGACAGCCAGGCCCCCGGTACTAAGGCCCTTCCTGGAGCTTCCGCACGACCTTCTGGGGTGCATGCAGCGGCTCTAGAGTGAGACAGCTTTGCTGCTGCAGCTGCAGTAGCTTTTGCTGCAACAGCGCGACATCTATCAAACGCATGCATAAATGCATGCATGCATGCATGCAGCAGTTGTATGGGGCCCTACAACTGCTGGGAGGGTGTAGCTTCCTTTAGCACTCTCTTTGTCGTTGGTTTCAGTCTGTCTGTACACTGCAGTGCAGTGTATTTGCTTTAGACAGAAGGATTAGGGGCCGGCAGTGCAGAAGAGGAAACTCTACTACGTGCTCTGCTGATGCTGCTGCTGCTGCTGCTGCAGTCACCGTGGACTCGGGTTTAAACTCGCGAAGCTGGAACAGACAGACACAGCAATTCGCCCCAAGGCAAGTTGCCCCGGCGCTGCTGCTGCCGCTGCTACTGCTGCCGCTGTTGCTGCTGCTGCGGTTGCTACTGCTGCTGCTGTTGCTGCTGCGGCGCTGACATAGGATGCTAGAACGATGAGCTGGTGAGTGGAGTTGCGCTGCTGCGAGGGTCTGTGGAGCATTTGCTACTGCTGCATCGCTGCTGCTGCTATTGCTGCTGCTGCAGCGCTGCTGCTGCCATTGCCGCTGGTGCAGCGCTGCTGCTACAGGAGCGAGCAGCAGCAGCAGCAGCAGGAGCTTGAGGTTTATTTATTTGCTGTTTGCTGCTGCGTGACTTTGCATGCAGGCAGTTGAAACCCTCAGTCGTGGGGTTCAGGCATGCATAGAAGGCAGCGCTGAGGCCTCAGAGCGCACCCCGAGCAGTGAAGGGGAGGCGGGGCTAACAGTAAGCTGAAGCAGAATTCAGATAAAGACAAATAAGGACAAAGACAAAGGAAGACAAAGCCAAATAAAGACAAAGATAAGTAAAGATCAAGGCTGTTTATTATTCGTTTGTTTGCTGCTGCAGGCGGCAAACACCCTTACTAAGGCCCTGACGCTGAAGGTGACGAGTCCGCTGCTGCCTGCAGCAGAACTGGGACGCGGCCGCGCTGCTGCTGCTGCTGCTACTGCTGCTCCGCCAGCAGCTACTGCTGCTTCCTCCAAAGCCTTTCGTATGCTTCCTTCCTGCTGCGCTGCTCTCGCTCATAATATTTGTGCATGCATGCATGCATGCATGCATGCATGAGTGGTGTTTGTTGTTGTTGTGAGAGGAGTTTATTTTGATGGTTTTATTTGTTTTTCATTTTGCTGAGGGATAAACAAATGCAGCAAAGTTGACAGCATGTGCCGTTATCACAAAGACATCTCAGCAAAACCCCTTGCAAGCTCTAGTTTGTTGTACATTATATTTGTTTGTTAATTGTTTATTATATTTGTTTGTTAATTTTATATAATATTTATGTTTATTGCATCGTATAAAATATAAATATAAATATAAGTGTAAATGTAAATGTAAATATAAATATAAATATAAATATAAATATAAATATAAATATAAGTATAAATATAAATATATTATTATTTATTTATTACTGCGTTGTTTGCTGCAGATATTGCGGGTGAGGCAGAGAGGCGTCGTTTGATGGCCACTGCGGAGTTTCGCGACTTCTTCACCACCTCCACGAAGCTGGTTTGTCTTTTTTATATTTATTTTCTTCATTTCTTTTCTTTCTTTTACTTCTCTTCTCTTCTTTTCTTTGCATCTGTTGCTGCTGCTGCTGCTGGTGTTGCTGCTGTTCGTTTTATTTGGATTTCTACGTTTCCTCTTGTATGTGCATGCGTTGTTGCTCCTGCTGCTAGTGGTGCTGTTGCTGCTGTTGGTGCAATTGCTGCTACTGTTGCTGTTGTTGGTGCTGCTGCTGGTGTTGCTGTTGCTGCTGCCTCAGCAGCACATCTGCATGCAGCAGATCTGCATGCATGCATGCATGCGCATGCATTTGTTCGCAAGCTTTGGTGTCTGTACAGGTTGAGAGGACTCTGGGAGAGGCGGAGGTATTTAATCCTTTTGCAGATTATGAAGGCACAGATGCGGGCGTTCATGGGGAGTGAGTTGCTGCTATTTGTTTTCTTTTATTGATTTGCTGCTGCTGCTTTATTTGATGTTGTTGCTGTTGCTGTTCTGGCATTGCTTTGCTGCTACTGCTGCTGGGAAACACAAGGCTTTATTAGCAGACCCCTCTCTCTAGGGTTTAGGGTGTAGGCTTTTAGGTTTAGGGTTTAGGGTTTAGGGTTTTAGGCTTAGGATTTAGGGTGTAGGATTTTAGGTTTAATTAAGGTTTAGGGTTTAGGGGTTGCATTTGCATGGAAGTGCATGCAAATGCATGCTTTAGTTTGCATATTATGATATATGCGAATGCATGCAGGTCTGTTGATTTAGCGATGTTAATGGAGGTGTACAGAGACCGTCGATATTCCCCAAACCGCCCTATCACAGACATGCATTTTTCTCAGACATTTCCTGAGTTATTTCTGGCTGCTTATGGAGGCCCTTGCAGCAAATATAATAATGAAAATTGCCCAGCAGGCTGCGTCTTAGTATGGAATTTAGCAATGAAAGATAGACCTGAGTATGCGCTTACCTGTCAGGTAAGAAAAGAAGCATTAAGTTATTACATATCACAACACTAAAATAAAATAAAATATTTTTTTATTGTACACAATCTCTTAACCCTAAACACAATAATTCAGCATGCAATAATCACGTATTATATTCTGAGAAAAAGAATAAAGGGTGCGGCTGCTGGTGCTGCTGCTGCTGGTGCTGCTGCCGCTAGAGATAGAGTTGCTGCTGTTGCTGTTCATCCTGGTGTTACAGCTGCTATTCGTGTTGCTAGAGGTATAGAGTTGCTGCAGCAGCTTTTGCTGCTGTTGCTGCTGCTGCTGCTGGTTTGTTGCTGCAGCAGTTAGGGCTAGACAATGGCGTCTCCACTTATATAAATCTGTCTGCATTTGTTTATCGATTTCTTTTTCTTTTTCTTTCTCCTTCAGTCTTCTGTATGCAGCGCCTTATTCAATAAATTTGAGCCCCATGTTGTGGTTGGCGGTACATACAGCGGAAGCATCGTCATCTGGGATTGGCGAGTGCAGGTAGTTCTTGCATGCATATTTATTTTATTTATTTGTTTGTTCGTTTATTATTTATTTATTCAGCTGTTTATGTTATTTATTTATTTAGCTGCTTTAATTATTCATTTATTGTTTGTTTTATTATTGTTATTATTTTTATTTATTTTTTTTTATTATTGTTATTTGTATTGCTATTAGTGCTATGATGTAACGGGAGAGTCGCCTGGTGCTGTGGCAGCTGTAAGGGGAAGGGGTGCTGCTTTGTCTAAGCTGCTGCTTTGCTGCTGTTTTGCTGCTGCTTTTCTGCTGTTTGCTGCAGCGGAAGCCAGTGCAGCGAACGCCATTGTCTTCTAGAGGGCATGCAAGTGCGGTGAGTCAAACATATATATATATATATATATGCATGTACATATATATATATATATATAGAGCGAGGGAGACAGAGACAGAGAAAGAAAGCAAGAGTAAAAGTAAAGAGGAAGAGAGAAAGAAATAAAAAATAGAGAAGGGGGAAAAGAGAAAGTTGGTGACTTCAAAACGGTGAAGAGGAGGAATAAAGAAGATTTAGAGAGAGAAATAAAGAAAATAGAAGCAAAAGAGAGAAGAAAAGAAGGAGAAGATATATTTATTCTCTTAATATGAAGCAAGAAAACGAAGAAAAGAAAGAAAAGATATATTTTGTCTTTGAATATAAAGCAAGAAAAAGAAGAAGAAAAATATATATCTTTCTTTTTACTTTTCTTCCTCAGGGAATCAAAAGAAAGACTGATAAAGAGAAAGAAAAGATATATTTATTTTATTTTATTTTATTTTATTTTATTTTCTTCTTCAGGTGTATTCACTGGAGTTAGTAGGAACAAAGAATGCACACAATTTAGTCTCCGTAGATACAGACGGCCGTCTCTGTCAGTGGTCCTTGCAAATGATGGGACAACCCGCTGTAAACCCTAAACCCTAAACCCTAAACCCTAAACCCTAAACCCTACACGCTAAACCCTAAAACCCTAAACAATAAACACTAAAAAACCCTAAACAATAAACCCTGAACCCTAAACCCTACACCCAAAAGAATAAACCCCAGAGAATAAACCCTAAACAATAAACCCTAAACAATAAACCCTAAACTCTAAGCCCTAAACAGTAAGCCCTGAACCCTAGACCCTAAACAATATATCCTAGAAACAGCACCAGCAGCAGCAACAGCAGCAACAGTAGCAGTTCTACTGTCACGATATATATATATATATATATATATATACGTTTTCATATATATATATATATGTATATATGTATATATGGCGTTTAGCTGAGTGATTATGTCCTATCTGTTGCTACAATAAACCACACAACTACACATAACTTAATAATAATAATAGTAATAATAATAATAATAATACTATTATTATTATTATTATTATTATTATTATTATTATTATTGTGCTTCAGGAGACTTTAGATTTGAAGAGAGGGAGCAGAGAAGTGTGCGTAGAGTGTTTTGCATTTGCTGAGGCTGAAGTAAATTATCTGCTCTTAGGCGCAGAAGACGGCTTCATCATGACAGCAAATATTCACGGAAAGTAAGCGAATAAATAACCCTCCAGCAGATTAGACAGCTAGTGCAGCAGCAGCTATTAGTGCTGCAGCAGATTATACGGCTAGTGCTAGTGCAGCAGATTAGAGGGCTAATGCAGCAGCTATTAGTGCTGCAGCAGATTATACGGCTAGTGCTAGTGCAGCAGATTAGACAGCTAGTGCAGCAGCTATTAGTGCTGCAGCAGCTAATCGTACAGCAGCAGCTAATCATGCAGCAACAGCAGATAATGCAGTAGCAGCAGATAATAGTCCAGCAGCAGATAATGCAGCAGCAGAAAATAATGCAGCAGCTAATGCAGCAGCGGATGCAGCGGGGACTCTAAGACACTCCCTGCTGCTGTTGTTGCTGCTTGTGCTGCTGCTGCTTGTGCTGCTGCTGTTGCTGCTTGTCTTATTGCTGCTGCTGCTGTTTCTGGGCGTTGGCTTGTGTGGCTGCGTTTGCTGCTGCTGCTCACTTGTGTTTTTGTTTCTGCATATTATTTTAATTCTTTGTAAATATCTTTTTATTTCAATGCATGCATTTGTACGGTTTTTTCTTCTTTTTCTTCTTTTGTAGCATTCGTTATATTACTCTGAATAATTATTTGTTATCTATATGTATTTATTTATTTATCTATTTATTTATTTATTGATTTATTGTATATTTTCTTATATTTTTTCGGGTGTATGTGCAGCAAAGCCGGGGTATTGGATGCCTTCGAAGGCCACGGTGGTGCTGTGACATCTCTTCATTTTCACTCTGCTGCTGCAGAGGGAGCGAGCGACTACTCGCATTTGCTGCTGTCTTCTTCTGTTGATTGGTCTATTAAACTCTGGAGCAGCAAGGTACACTGCTGCTGCTGCTGCTGCTGCTCCTGCTGTTGCTGCTCCTGCTGCAGCTGCTGCTCCTGATGCTGCTGCTGCTGTTGCTCCTGCTGCTGCTGATCTCGCTGGTGATGTTGTTGTTGCTGCTGTTGTTGTTGGTGCCGCTGCTGGTGATGCTGCTGCTGCTGCTCCAGCTGGTGATGTTGTTGCTGTTGTTGTTGCTGCTGCTGCTGTTGCTGGTTTTTCTCATCATGTTGCTGTTTCCCGTGCTGTTTTTGCTGCTGCTTCTGCTGCTGCTGCTGCTGCTGCTGCTTCTGCACGGGGAGTCTCTGCATTTGCATGCAGTAATTTTTCTGCTGTCTGTCTTGCTGTGCTTGTACATAATTTGGTGTTTTGCTGCTGCAGAACCTGGGGGAGCCGCTGGCTTCCTTTGAAGGCGGAGACGCCTACGTATACGACGTTAAGTGGTGGGTTTGCTGCTGGTGCTGCTGCTCTTGCTGCTGCTTCTGCTGCTGCTGTTGCTGCTGCTGCCGCTGCTGTTGACTCGGCTTGCCTGTGCTATTATAATGCATGCATAGTAAGTACGGTCCCTCGCTGCTGCAGCAGCAGGTTCAGCTACTAATCTGCTGCAGCAGCAGCAGCACCAGTTTGATTTGCTGCTGCACTTTTGCTGCTGCTTCGCCGTGTCAACGGAGAATGACGATCCACAGCTTCGAGCTACTTTTTGCTGCTGCTGCTGCTTCTGCTTCTGCTGCTGCTGCTTGTGCTGGTACTGCTGCTGCCGCCTCTACTGCTGCTGCTGCTTCTGCTGCTGCTGCTGCTTTTATAGGCATCCAACGAACGCAGCAATATTCGCAAGTGCGAGCGGCAGCGGAAGTGTGGACATCTGGAACCTCGCTAATGACTGGGGGGTAAATATTATTTATTATTTATTTATTTATTTATTTTTTTGTTTGTTTGTTTGTTTGTTTTAATTGCCTGTTGATTGTCTGTTTTCCTTGCTGCTGCTGCTGCCACAGTTTCTGCTGCTGCGACTGTTGTTTCTGTGCTTCTGCTGCTATATTGCTGCTGCTCTTCCTCCTACAACTGCTGCGGCTTCTCCTGCTGCTGCTGCTGCTGCAACTGCTGCTTTTTCTTCTGCTTCTGCTTGTGTTGCTGCTGCTGCTGCAGAGGCCAGTGTTCAGCAGCCCCAAGCCTGAAGTGGCTGTCGGAGTGCATGCAGCAAAAAGTAAAATTGTTTGGTCTGGCGACGGCCGAAGAATTGCAGTCGGAGACGCCAGAGGAAATGCTGAAATTTGGAATGTGTCGCCTCAGGTACATTTCCTGCTGCTGCTGCTGCTGCTGTTGCTGCTGCTGCTGCTGTTGCTGCTGCTGTTGTTGCTGCTGTTGCTGCTGCTGCTGCTGCTGTTCCTGGTGATGGTGGTGGTGCTGCTGCTGGAGGTGGTGGTGGTGGTGCTGCTGGAGGTGGTGGTGGTGGTGCTGCTGGAGGTGATAGTGCTGCTGCTGCTGGTGCTCCTGCTGTTTCTGCTGCTGCTGCAGCAGCAGCAGCAGCAGCAGCAGCAAGCCTTTAGCATGTGCATACATCTAAAAAGGGTTTGCTGAGGAGGTGGTCAGTTGAACTTGCGGCTTAATGATACTTTCTTTGTTTCTTCTTTTACTATTTATATTTATATTATTATATTATTATATTTATATTTATATTTATATTTTACTTATTTCGCTGCTGCAGATATACCAACCGCGAGCAGAAGACAGCGAAAAATTCGACAGACAAATTGAGGGGGCCAAACCGTGAGCTGAATTTCATCAAGTGCTGCTGCTGCTGCTGTCTGCTGTTGCTGCTGCTGTTGCTGCTGCTGCCTCCTGCTGCTTTTGCTGCTGCTGCTGCTTTTGCTGCTGCTGCTGCTTTTGCTGCTGCTGTTGCACCTGCTGTAGTGCGTTTGTTGATTGTTTGTGCTTCTGCTTCTCGCTTTTGCTGCTTCTGCTGCCGCTGCTGTTTGCTGCTCCTGCTTCTGCTGCTGCATCTACTGCTGCTGCTGCTGTTGTTGTTGCTTTTTATATAAAGGGTGAGCAGTGAAGACGTCTCTGAGGACACAGCGGGCCCTCTGGGCTTCGGCGGAGAGTGAAGCATTATAAGGTTTGTTGATTTCTTTATTTTGTGTTGCTGCTGCCTTTGCTGTTAATATATTTCATTTATAATGCAGCTTGGAGGCTGCCTATACACCGCAGAACACAGACAATTGCATGCATGCATGGCTGCCCCTCAACTTTGGTTTCTTGTTTCTGTTTGTTTTGTTGTGTGTTTTATTCTTTTTCATTCCTTGCTTTTTAATTGTTTGTTTTATTGCTTGTTTTATTTGCCTTCTTGCTCGTTTTTTAAATTTGTTTTATTGTTTGTTTGTTTGTTTGTTTAATTATTTTTTGGTTTGTTTGTATGTTTGTTTGTTTGTTCAATTATTTGTTTGAATTGTTTGCTAGTTTTATTGTTATTTATATATATATTTTATTGTTTATTTTATTGTTTATTGTTTGTTTTATTGTTTGTTTTATTATTTAATTCATTTAAATATTATTTATTTTTTGTCTTTCTCTCTCTTCTCAGGTGTTGCTGCTTTCGTCTGAGGGATTTGCTGCAGGCTGCAATTTTCATAAACAATTTATAGAAGCCCTAAGACCAATATATTAAATTAATATATATATATATATATAGTTATATATAACATATAATATATAGTTATATATAATATATAATTATATATAATATATATATATATATAATGTTAAGGCATTCATTTCAATGTATTAAGGCTTATATGAAGGCCTTTTCATTTCAATATATTAGGGCCTTAATACATATATAATATGTATATAATATATATATATATATATATATGTTGGAGTTTCATATATATATATATATATATATGTATATGGAGTTTCTTATTATATATATATATATATATATACGCCTATGAAAACCTTCTTTTCAATATATTACGGCCTTTATATATATGCACATGCATATATACGTGTATATATATTATATATATAATATATATATATATATAGGGACGTGTTGATATAAATGTATAGGCACACACATATATATATATATATATATATACATGTATATACATATATATATGTATGTATGTATGTATATATATATATATACATACATACATACATATATATATG